CTGATGTGCACATGCCCCCTCCCCTACAGGTGAATGGTTGATGATCCTATCGTTGGTCCCCTCCAGAATTTGGTGTGCATCTTTCTAGATAAATTCTTTGCCTCTGTTTGGGTTTTGGGAGTGTGCTTTTTTGAGGATGGTTCTGTTCACAGCACTGAGCAGAGCAGTGGACAAGATGAGCAGCTTGCTAGCCCCTGCCAGCTTCCTTCGTGGGTATGTGCATGACATGCCCAGGTTTACCCTTTCACAGCATCACAAGGTGTGCATGTCTGGCCCATGGCTTGCTTCCTTCTTCTTGAACGCATCAGGAGCTCTTTGGGTGCCACTGGTGATTCCTCTTCATGATTTTCCTTTCTCTTTTTTTTTTGCCTTGCTAGTGATTGAACCAGGGCCTTGTGCATTGCTAGGCAAGTGCTCTGCAGGTGAACTACATCCCCAGCCCTTTGTTTTTTTAAAAAAAACTTTATTTGAGACAGGCTCTTGCTAAATTACCCAGGGTTATAAGAGGCAGAATAGAAGAAACAAGAAATTGGTGGAAAGGAGACAAAAGGAAGGACAAGAGAATGAGAATTTAATTCAGAACTTCTGCATTCTTTTCCCAACTTTGTAACCCCAAATTCTTGGGAAATTTCTGTGCACTACTGATTAATCTCCAACAAACAGATTAAGCAAAGTCAGATGCATATCTTGAGGAACCTACAATTTAGGGAACTTTAATGAGAGAATGAAGACACTGTGAGCCTGAGGATTCTGAGATTGGCCAGACCACCAGACAGTGTCCCGAGATCGCCATGATAATATCAATTCTACACACCACCCCTCACCAAGTATTCTTTAAAAGAAGAGCCAGGAACCCCCAAGTCATGTCTCTCACCCTGGAGGTAGTCCAGATTCTCCCTTGAATGTGTCTCTACTTCCTAAATAAACCTCATTCTGTGCCTCTGATTGGGTGCCAAGAGCCCTATTGGTCCTGAGTCATGTTCTCCCTTCACTAAGGATCTCTTAGGACCTTTCTCTGGAGACACCTCTGTGTGACATGTCTGTCTCAGCGT